GACAGACTTAAAGAACTCTATCAGTCTATGGAGAATCCAAACTCTATTAACTCTGACCTAGGAACTGAACTAGGAATTTGAGGTGCAAAAGGTTGCTGCAGGGGCAGCAAGGCTTCCCTCTCTAACAGATAAACAATTTTCAGAATCTGTAAAAGGGAACACCTCTAACAGTAGGAGTAGCAGACAAGTTTTTTGTCTCTTTAACAAAAGCAACAGAGAAATTTGCAGCAAAAACTGGGAAAACTTGAATCTGATTTAATTACCCTTTCATTAGAAGGTCAAAAGGTTCCAGGAAACTTACATGAATATTTCTTCAGAAAAAATAATTTTCTGCAAACTGTTAGAATTGTTTGTGCCTAAATTGTTTTAAATCATCTTTTAATTGAATTATTTGCTTTGACTTTGCTATGAGACCCCTGAATCTAAATTTCAAGAACATTGTTTTCTGTTCATTTTAAACAAATTTGATTAAAACCTGTCTTATATGAATGGCAGCCCCTTCCAAGCTCACTGTTAAATGTTATAAACAGAGTGCTTAATACTTACAAGCTTATATTAAATTGAATTTGCAGCTCAGCTTTGAAGAACAACTTCTATCCAGACTAAGCTCTTTATCCTTCAATTGTTCAAATGAGAAACTTCAAGCAGGTACATATAATGTATTTCTCATCTGAGTTTATTACTTCTGTTTAAAATGGGGCTTGTTTGCTTTTTTCCTCACAATTATATTTGTTATATCTTCACCTGACAGGTTATGGAAACTTTTATTAATTTGTATGTGCAAGAATACTTGTAAATGGCCCCCTATAACAAAATGTACATTAGATGTTTAATGCCTTTTTGTCTGGTCACACTCATATGGATGAAATGGTTAAAGCTAATGAACAATATATAATTTTATTCAGGGATTTTGGCCCCATTTGTAAATCTACCTAATCTCTAAGCATAGACTGGGACAAATCACACCACAGGGACTCAAAAGCAGTCTAGCTTTCCTGCTGTCATGATGGAGTGGAATACAGACTGCATCAGTGGGTATCCATGCTCCATCAGCAACCATGTATTCTCTGAAATTAAATCAGTGCTACAAAAAACTGCCTTGTGTATACATGTATGGAGAAGTTTTAACACAGCTGTTAATGGAATTTCCCTAAGAATTCCCTCAGTGTAAGACTCTCCTTGTACTAAAACAGCTGGACCACCTGTTGTTATTTTTCCTAAAAGCCTGATTGAAACACTAACAAAATAGTGAGCACAAGTTCTGTTACCTAATCAGCAGAAAACTTTTAATAGTCAACTTATTCTACTGGTAACAGCTTCAATACTAAGAAAATTTGCAGGAGTGTGTCTCTGGTTTGGGGTGATGGTCAAGTTTTTTTCCTCCACACAAATTTCTTCTATACTAATGTTAACACAAATTCTGTAGTGAGATAAAATGAGGTTCCACTTTGTATTTCTTGGCAAAGGCTTCAGTCAACATCCATAAGAAAAAGGTTTATTGATATCGTTCTCTCTGAATCAGGGGAGAAATTTGAGAAACAGCAAAATAAGTTTAAAAAATTGGCAGCAGAGACCAAAACTGAGATTTTATTCTCCCCATGTAAATTATTACATATAAAATAGTTTATATTTAAAATATATTATTATTTATCTATAAGCAACTACAACAAATGTGTATTTCTTCATAAACAGACTGCTTTCATTACACAAATCTACTTTTTATTCAGTCCAATACATTTGACTTCTGGCACGTTCCTGTACCACATCCTTTTTCCCCGTCGCTGTACTACCTCTGTTTTCTCATCTCCAAGAAATTTATGGGTTATCTGATTACCTTTTCATCTGGACAACTGTCATCATCCAGTCAGTGCTCTTTCTGGAAGAGCAGCATCTGATCCACATCTCCTGTTGAGGGCTGGCAGCTCAACCGGGATGGGACTCCCCAGTCCCTCTCCTGTCTGCCACTGACCCCCAGTGGTTTCACCTATATTTGCTCTGCCTCACTGTTCACAGGCTGCTGCTGCTACTGTGGAATGATGCTTGGATCATGCTAGGATATCAGAAAGCAAACAAAACCCAGCATTCCGATGACCACTGTTTCACGGCCACCAATCACAGAATCAAAGAATGATTTAGGTAGAAAGGAGCCTGTGGAAGTCATCTGGTTCAATAAGCTCTGATTGGAGCAATTCAGACTGCTCAGGACTTTATTCAGCTAGATCAAAATTCCACAGACTCTGTACAGTCTGTTCCAATGTCTGTTACTCTCAATGATAAAACATTTTTCCTTTATTTATTTAGAATTCCCCTTGTCACAGCTTGTGTTCAGATCCAATTGGCTCAGTTACACAAGCTAAAGAAAGGAAGCAGAGGAAGACGCAGCTGTTCTCAGAGAGGAGAATCCCTCCTGAGACATTGTCCAATATCCCTGGCAAAAGGAAATGTTTAGTTATGTAAGTCTGATCTTCACTCATCTGTACCTTTGTGTAGTGGCAGTAAGAGATCAGGTCCCAACTACAGCATAATTCCACTTCTAAGAAAGAAAGTTGTAAACAAAAAGAAAACCCCAAAAGGTCGCCTCTGGAATAAAAGCACCTGTCAGTTCACAGCACCTCACTGAGTTTTTCCTTTAGACTTTGTTTTGCAGAATGCAAAGTTCCCAGAGGAATACTTACAGGTAAGTATTCTTTTACAATAAATGTTTCACTGCTGGAAGAGACCTAGCCTATTCTATTTTTAACTTGAAAAATAATCTAATGAAATTTAAGCATTTACATAATGTGATTTTAAGCTAGCCATTATTTAAGTAATTGCTGATCAAGCACATATAATTTCAAAGAACATCAACAAAAAAATCTCACTGCATATGACAAAATGCCAATTAATAGAATAATATAAATTTAACTGGATAGGTTGCCCATAATTTTTTCCAAGACTATTGGTTCAATCAATAAAACTAACATTCATCTTAATATTTTCTATGCATATCACACTTGCAGCTCTACCCAATATTAAGCAAAAAATCAACTATTGCATCCTTAAAGCAGGTACACATAATAAAAACATACCTGAATGCAGAGTATTTGGTAAAATCTGAGCTGTCTTCAATGTTCCATTGGTTTGTGTTGATTTTAGGGCTAGTCTAACATTCAGCATGCCAGCAACAATGAATAAGCCTAATGCATTACGTAAGTGTAAGCTGATTAAATCCTTGATCCTGAAGCCACCTCTTTTTCCCCCTCCCCCTCTGATTTAAAACTTAGCACAATTGAAAATCTTAGTTTCAAACACTTCCAAAACCTAATTTGTACTATTTTTAGCATAAAACCCACTACAATTTTACATTACTATAACGCCCTCAGGTTTTAGTCTTTCTTCTACTTTCATAAACCTGGTATTTAATACATTCTATTTCCCAAACCTGGTAAAAGTCCTTTTTAAAGTGATCAGTTCCCCAACAAATTTTAATGTTGTGGCCAACTTTTGGGATTTTAAAAGAAAAGAAAATAAGTGTCCTGAATGGAATGAAGATAGAAGTTATTCAAGTTATCAAGTCTGAGCTTTATCCATAAAACTCAGAGCAAATTCAATTCAATACAGAGCCATGCTATCATAAAGCTTAGCCCTGCCAAGAAGTGAGACTGTAAGGCATTCTGCACATGCCAGTCCTAATTTCCAAATATACCATATCTCAAATGTAGTGCCTGAGCTACAACCCCTATGGAGGAGTAGATCAGGGGAGGTCACAAAAGAGTTATGTCCCCCAGCACTTTATAGCACCATGATCTCACTACATTGTCAATATGACAATGGCAGCAGGATAAACGGATCCATGCAGCAGAGGGTATCAGCCAGTGTTCTCTACAGAAAAGGAATGTAGAAAGCAATACATGATTAACTGTTTTGAATAGCGAAAAAATTCCTTGCCCTAGGTCCACATGCCATACACCAAACAAGCTGCAAAGAGCTACAAACTGAACAATTCTGTTGCTACACGGGAGAGCGTGTGATCTTTAAATGTTAATTATCAGGCAATATAGAAGCACAGAACTGTCAAGTCTGCACAATTATTTTTAAGATTCTCAAATTGCAAAAACTGATTTATTTGCTTCTAAACTTTAAGTATTATTTTACTCTGAGAATGAACCATATGCACATTTGTAAAGTGACAGTGCTTTATTGAGACAATATAACTATGAACTGGTGAGTTCAAATGTGTTTACTGAAATTTTAAAATGTTTAAACATAGCTAACGATAGCTGGAGTGTCTTAGTAAAGGCAGCAGAATGGTCCTGAACAAACAAGAACAGACTATGCTTCGCAGAATCTTCATTAGTATTGAAGATGAAACAAGAGAGAAGAAAGTAAGGAGATTTTCAGCTCAGGAGTAGAAGGCTTTTAAGCCATGTTAATTTTGAAAGAGATATACTATGGTTTATGTAGAAAAGAAAATGTTCAAGCCAGGAATCACAGGTTGCCTATGGTATGTAATTTGTATTTTAAATTAGAAACCTAGTAATATATTAGTTAAAAAACCTCTATATGTAGAAATGAATCAAGTGCATAAAAATAGCATAAAGTGATGGCTCTGAGGGGTATGCAAGCTCTTCTACCAGCATATCCTCATATTTCAGCATATAACAGTATATCATGAATCAATACCAGTAACATGAATCAAGGAAAAGATATGTGGACAAGCAATATAAGTGTGAAAGAATAATGTAACTTGTTTTTACTTCACACAGAATAAATACAACAGATTAGAAGGTGAATTAATAAGACTATGGGGCTTCTCACATCACGTAATTTCTTTCTAGACAGAAAATCAGAGTGATGAAAAAGACACATTGTGCCATTCACTTTCTAATAAAATCAAAACAAAACCAAGATAAATATATTTTTCCCCAGTTCCCATCATAACACACCTCAAAAAGTAATAATTTCTAAAACACAAAATATTTCAGTGGCGTTGATCCAAACCGTTAAGATTTATTACTTACCCCATTCTCTGTTCGTTTCTCCACAGGTATATTTATACCATTTCTTTGATTTTGGGCTGGACGTCCACCTAAAAGTAAAGCATCACTCTTAGTGCAAAGTTCAGTTTTCAACACAAATGCATTTTACCTTCGAGTCTGTTGTCATATGTTATGAGAATTCTGCTCAAGAATTTGTATCAAACTTTTACCTGTCAATTTTTATTCTGCTAGTTTCAACATTTTCTTAGTAAAGTTACTTTTTGTAAGCAGTGAATCAGCAGAAATAAAGCCTTTACTTAACAGAATTCCTCAGTTAAAAGTACAAACATGCAGCTCTATTTTCCTGACTTCTCTTTAGGAAGAATGTCAGGAAGGGCAATGTACTCAAGGTTTATATTTTGTGTTCATAAGAAGCAGTAGCTTCAACTGAATACATTATAAATTAATATAGTAGAGGAAGCTTTTATAATGTCTAACTTATAAACAACATTAATCTAGAAATCCATCCATAGCTCAATGATTAATTCAAAAGCCTTGCAAGCATGGTTCAGGAGCAATGCTTACATTTAAATTCTTTGGCTTTAAGTCTATCTTAAAATTCTTAACATTATATTTGTATTGCCCAAAGGATAACAGACTATTTTACAAAGTACGTAATTAACGAAGTTCTCTCACACATTTTTGGGTCTGCTATTTCTGCATTCAAAACAAGCAGGCAACACTTAAAAATAAGAGAAGCCTCAGCTGAAAGCAACAAGGACTCAGCAAAGACTTGAAATCCTGTTGTTAAAAGTAGTCAGATTAGTTGAATGAGTCAGTAATCTGTGCATGCAAACACATCTCACTGAGACACCTTTCCTGTCCTTCAGACAGTCTGACAGACATCAAGTCTATAATTCACAGCCTCAAAACTCTTCTCATAGATTAAGCACAGTCTACACAGTAAGTTAGCTAAAACACTTCTATTTTTTTATTCCAGTCTTTTAAGAAGCCCCATTTCACTGGGCACCATTTCATATAAACACTTCTCCTACAGAACCAAGCAGACCAGCAATTTTTCAAGATGCAAATTTTCATGACTATTAAATATACCTACATCAAGTACTGAGAAAGCAAAGGCACAGAAACCTCTGCCAGTGATGTCTGTAAAATAGATCTGAGATTTTAAAGGAGGCAAAGGAGTTTAACAAGTCTTTCTCTGTGCAACTGAAAGAAGAAAAAAGAACCATTCTACCCTCTCAAAATGTAGGGACTTTCAGTAAGAAAAAACTACATCAAGTCTCTAATATCCACCAACTTTTTTGGATCCAAATTAAGCAGAATACAAACAGATCTTACTATTACTCAACAGACTGGTAAAAATTATTCTAAAGAAGAGAACTGGTGCACAAGAACTAGAATAAAGGTGCCCCTGATCAAGGTTCAAAATGGCTTTGGTACAAGGAAGTTGTATTACATATAACCACTGTGGTTCACTGAACGAACTGAAAACCAAAACGTTTCAGAAATCTTTTAAAATCTATTTCAGTCACAACACTACAGGATAAATGTACTTACTCTGTTCATTGCTTTCAGCTGGCGACTCTTCATGACGAAGAAAAAATTTCACCTCTTCCCTGCGGGGGCCCCACTTCTGTAGGTGGTCATACATCATGTGGTCAAAGGGTATGGGGCGCTCTAGAAGACCAAGACCAAAAATACCTCATCACAACTCCTTAAAATCAAGCAGGGCTACACAGAACTCTTATTAATATTCAGAATGTCCTTTTTGGTAACAGTTCAATCTATCTGATGTATTTTGTCTTACACAAAATTCAAGAAACAGGCACGAACTGGATGTATGGTATTAAAAGCTGACCTGTTACTGTAACACAGCTCACTGCTCCACAGTGAGCAGAACCAGTTTGCAAATCCGTACCAGTTCTTAGGAGCCCTAATTTAGGAAATAGCAGCTTTGCTTCCCATCACCACCAAATGGATAATTTGTTCTACTTTAAAATGATTCATTCAATTTGAACCTCTGGATTTCCACACAGACAAAAAGCCTTAACATTATATTGATATTTCATCTCCTAAGAACTTGAGCAGGTACTCCCACTCTAATACACTTTGCCAGACACTAACCTTCAGTATATGCAGTATATGTGCAATTACTAGACACTCCTTGAACAGATAAAGACTATGTTCTTTGCAACAGTAAGTGTCTTTGCTTTCCCCCAAGAAAACATTTGCATATTTCTTCTAAACTGATCATATATTGTTAGTAAGAGACTAAACACAATACATTTAGTATTTAAAATGAAAATATGTTTAAGAAGACAAGTTTTTCACTGCTTCCACAATTATGCTTCCATTTCTTACCAGGTATTTTTATTCATATAATAAAATCTCCATTTTAAGATCGAATACTAGACTAGCTAAGGCACCAAAATACATCTTCTAACCAGAATAAAATTTTATTATATTATATACTATACTTTGTTGTTAAAAGCAAAATACTTTTGGCCTCCAAAACCCAAACCACACTATCTCCTACTGGGAAAAGTACCACTAAGTTTGTTACCCATTTCATACTTCACTCACTTGACATGAGAAGACAAAATTATTCATATAAGAGAAATCTTGGGAAAAAAATTTACAAATATACCTTTATGTAACAAAATGTACCTAAATTTATATACATTACGAACTACATAGATGTACATGTCTTGATGCTCTTAGGATACTTAATTGTTAAAAACCAATACATTTTAATAAATTGTTTTACAATGCATTTAACACAATAAACTTTTGTCAAAATATGTCAAGTAGGTATGTGATTAGCCACAGTTAGATGTAGCTGCTTTCAGTGGGAAGAGCCATTCAAACCACAAGCTAATCATATTCATCAGGTGACTGGTTACTTATCATCCTTAAAAAAATACCCTGCACCCACCAAAAACCCAACTCCCCCAAACCAAACCAACAACTACATTTAAAAAGTAGATTATTTGCTTCACTTCTTCCTGTTCCTCACTCAAGTGGTATCATAGAAACATTGTCAATAATGTTTAAGCACACAAGAATAAGGTCAGTAGCTTATTGCTACTCAGTTCTTGAAAAGGAATTTTAAAAGCATGATTTTCAGGTTTTTCAACTCCTAAAGTAAAGTAAGGTTTCAAGTGCTTTGAAGCATATCCACTAAAATTGCAGCATGAGTCTTCTAAAGATCACTGAATGTAAAAATATTTAAGTGGTTTAGTTCAGAGACTTTAGAACACAAGATATGAATCTTTAGGAATTTCTCCCAAACAGAAAAATTGCTAGGCAAACCCAGCTGTAACAGGGATGGACTAATTATGGAATGGTGAGGAGTAGCTGCAGCTTCACTCCTGGTTGAGCTGGTCTCCCAATAAAAATAAGGCCTGATCCCAGGAGCTAGTCAAAGTAAGAGGTGTCATTTACATAATGCACCTTCAATAATTACAACTAATATTTTTCAGACAATGACAATGGAAAGAAATGGCAAAGACAGTTTTCTACTGGTTTAGCAGTTCTTTCACAAAACCAGTTTGGGATGTTATCCTAAAGGAGACAGAAAGCAGGTTAAAGTAGTAACAGCATCACTTATGTCACTGAAACAATGAAAAGAAAGGTGGAGCAGCACTAAACATTCTGTGCAACCTGGCTATATGAAACAAATTCAGGAAACAAAGAGGAAGAAGAAATGGACAGTAACACTTAAGACATGGTAAGAACTGAAATCCCCATTCCTTCCTACAATTTAAATCCTTTAAATCTATAAGAAGTGCTAGAACAAAGCATGATTTTTTATTTCTAATATAATAGTACAAGAGATATTTTCTGAAAATCACTGTTCCTTAAGAACCAAAACAAAATCAAAACAAAAAGAAACACTACAGTTAAATCTTTCCTGGCTGTTCTAGCTTCAGAAATATCTGTCAGTATCTGGTTTCTCAAAGCTATTTCAAACTTTAATTAAAAAACAAATTAAATAGAAGAGAGCATTCTGAGAGTGTGAAGAAAAATTTAAATAGAACATGGATACAGAGTAATAATAAAAGGCTGGATTCCTACACTTCAGCAACACATAAAAAATTATCTAGAGAACATTTATTTTCATGAATAACAAAGCAGAAAACCATGATAAATGCATACATCAATATTAACTGAAAAAGCTGCCTTAGATTTTAAGTTGGATCAAGATTCTAAAATATCTTTGAGAAATGAGCTATACTCATTTCCTTTTAAGTAAAAGTTTTAGAGGATGGGCTAGTTTTAAGTATTCCAAAACAAAACACCCTTTAAATCTGAAACACAGATACTGCACCAATGTTTCAGAAAAGAGATGCAAAATTCTTCTGCTGGAGCTACAAATCCACTATTTAGAAGTAAGTTTCAGTCTTCAAAATCTATTTTCATCCTGATTTCAAGGATCCTGCTATGTGAAATAAACACATTTATGCCTCCTCTACATGAAAACCAGAATAAAATGAAATGGATTTTCTCCATAGGGAAGTTTGCTGTTATGTCTGGAATGAGTTTTTCCCTGTTCAGGTTTGCTTACACTCAGAGTAAGAAACTATTTCTTTTACACTCTCTTGCCTCCTATGTTACCACAGTGAGGAATATCTGTTATGACCATTTGCTTGAAGGGCATTCCAGGTGTAAATGAACTGAAAAATTCAGTACTGGGTGGATTTAAAGGTTGTAATCAATTATTTTGAAACCTACTGCAAGCTCCTGGCATTACACCTGTCTTTGACACTCCTTACTGACTGCTATTTGCAATAACAGGGGAATGAGGAAGAACATTCTGGTTTTGTCTCCTGCTACAGAGCATGAGAAATCCTTGCAAAAAGAGTAGGCTTCAAACTGACAAAGCCTGATATATCAGGCGCAAATTGACTTTTTCAACTACTTTTTAATCTCAAGAAACTGGAAAGATGAAGGAACAGAGAATGAAAACCAAAATCAAATGTGAATAAATTAAATGCTTAGGCCATGCAGCTCTGAGAAGAATCATTTTCTTGACTCTAATGCAATCAATATCTAAACTATTTTACAACTCTTGTGAAGCCCTCAGACATTTCTTTGTCACACAAAAGCAAAGAAATGAAAGCTACAATAATAAATAAACCAATATGTTTTCCAACAGCTAAGCTATTGTAATCTTCCTCTGCACTGTAGAAATCTTACATAGTTTTTGAATTTAGTAACATTTTTCTGGAAGAAAATTGGTCTCTTATCCTCTAAAAATAAAATCAAGTGTTTGTCATCTACTTGTACATACACATTCAAAACAGGAAGACTATTAAAACAGACAGTATTTTGTTAGAGCAATACAGTTTAGAAAGGCTTTTGGGCATGCAAACTGTTATTTGTACCTGATGATAAGATTACAGTCCACAAGCCCCAATGCTTTGAATTTGAATAGACATGCATTATTCAGCTGGGCAACCTAAAAGAAGCTGTGGCTACCTGTAGAGTAGAGGAGTTAAGCACATTCACAAGAGGCCAGGAAGACTCTCTCTTAAGAAGGGAGGTGTAATTTGTCATTTGTGCCACAGGGAGAGACTGCCAGGAAAACAGACCACTCACAGTGTGACTAAATCTAACGTGTTTTTTCAGCCCATGATTTGCAGTATTAACTTTTGTTTTGAATTTTACTTTCCAAAACGTCCTCTGAAAGAACACTTGCAGATCTCTTGAGGATAAGGGTGAGGGATCAGAGACAGTGTAATAATAAATATAAAATATGCTTTTCCACTGGCACAACATGCAACAGTTTTACTGCAAATTGCCTCGCACTTCCCACTCAGAACCATAGTTTAAAGTTTGTTGTTGTAACTGTCACATGTAACTGTTCAGACTCTTGTTTTCTACATCAGATCTCCACTCCAGGCAAAATTATTTTTAAAAATCTCAGTGGAAGAAGTTCAATTTAGGTCTCAGAAGAAGCAGAAGGAAAAATTATCATATATATGCCCAGGTCATTCCACTGAGAAATCTATCTACCCTAGACTTTGGGTCAAGAAGCTGAGGTCAAAGATTTTCTAACATCATCCTACATTTAAGAACATTAAAATAAACATTTGTGCTGAAAGTCCCATCAGAGAGCCTTAAAACCAATGTGCAGGATATAATTTTTGCTGACACAACAGGTCAAAGACCCAGAAACATAAGCAAGTGATGTATTTTTTCTTTCATTCTCTCCAGTATTTTCTATGCTACACCTTCAGTGGACTAGATCTATAGAGTTATCACCTTGCAAATTTAGCAAGTAAAGCTACCTTTGTGAAAGCACCTTCATGTGAGTTTTACCAGAAGCTCAGAACTAACAACAGCTCTGGGCAGGCCTCTGCTCCTTCACCTAAGTGTCTTTATGTAGATCTCCACTTCAGAAAACTGGGTGAGATTAACAGAAATTTAACAGAATTAACAGAAAACAACCACCTAAAAGCAGACAGCTCCTTATTCTATTCACAGTAATATCCAGATCTCCACTGGCTTTAATGGGATCAAAGAAAGATAATTCTCAGGGCGGATACACAGAAGAGTCTTTATCTCTCCATTGCAACTTCATGGATAAATTCTATTTCCCACTTTATAGAAACTTGTAGCTTTCATTATCTAACACTTAGAGAAATAAAGTATTACACTTGCAGATAAAATATTATCTCAATCTTAAGAGTTATCATAGAAAACCTGTGCTTCTAAGGTCCAAGGTTTGCAAGGTTTAAGTGTTCCAGGAAAATGCTGTGGATCACTTTTCCAGTTTTTAGTCACCCTTTAAAGCTAGTCAACACATTCTTTCCTACACATTTTAAGAAGTACACCTTCAAAGTATTGTGAAAGCAAAAGAATAAATAATATCACATATGACACTTTCACTGACAAGGGGTTGGAAAATATTAGGAATATCCGAGTGCATTTGGAGTCTGCAGATCCATTTTAGAAATCTGTGATGCACTTGGCATCAGAGACTCCATAACCTAAATTTCCAATTTGAAGATGTCTGAACCATTCTTCAAGTTCTGTCCTTAAAGACAAGCTTTCTAACTAAGTGTGTACTGAATTTGTATTCCTAGAATTGCAGGCATACAATTCTTAACCTTTCCCTGGTTCACTCTGTCATCCCACCCACCAACTCTACTTCCATCCATCCACTGATAAATGATAACCTGGAGGTTTGTACTACATGCAACTACAAGAATGCATTTAAAAACACAATCTACCGTGCATGGATTTTGACACATTCCTGAAAAGAACTGCCTGCCTCATGATTCTGTGAAATAACAATTGCAACACAAATAGGATATGGACACTATTACCTGCTCCAAGAGAGGCTGGCAAATCTTTGAGAAGCAATGTTCACTAACAGATGAGAGATACTATGTCCTATTCTGCCATAACACTGTCTGCAGAGCATCTGCTATTCATGATACAGAAGGAAAAAAAAAAATCTATACCCTTTCTTATACCCTTTCAGGTAGTGTTCACATGCTAGCAGTCAGGAAATAGGACTGGAAAGAATGCAGGTGGTGATCTGCACCCACTGACTGCAAAAACATCATCACGAGATTCCCTGCTGCCATTTAAATACCCTCCGTCCTATTAGAAAAACAAACACAGAACACTAACAGGCCTTACACATGCATTTTATAAAATGCTTCATGCTGAGGAAGAAAACAGAAAAGAGTCAAGAATTACATTAATCTCTACAGTTATTTGAGTCACCATCCTTTGTGTCAAAGTCTACTAGACGAAAAAAAAAAGAGTACAGTATGTAATTGAAATAATTAGTATTGAGAAGTCACTCTTTTTTATAATTGATGCATATATTAAAATCCATTTCCAGTGAACATTTTACTTACCATTTCCACGCCATACTTCAGCCAGATGACAGCTTCCTTCTCCAGGCTCTTTGCAGAACTCCACTACATCACGACAGGTTGTTTCTGGTGTAATTGGAACTTCTGTCAGAATCTGTTCATTGTTGCTCAGAAACACAGTTAATATCATCTGAAAGACATAAGAAGAAAAGTAGCAGAATATTAAAGAAAAAAAAAAAGAGAGACAAACATAAGATTATGGGTAAATATTTTTCCCCCTCTGTAAATGGAAATGTATGCCTAGGATTGGTTACAGCATTCCAAAGTTGTTTTCAGTTTCCTGTACCTTTGGCAAAGTTTTCGTCCTTTTTGGTTTTTTTTGACAGTACATGAAATTGAGATTTTTTTTTATAAAAGCTTGAGTTGAAATGCTTTAGTTCTGTCTGAAAATAAGGTTGGGAAGAAAGTAACAAGTTTCAGCTGTGTTAGATACTTGAAATTATAGCATTCAAATGCTGAAAATAAATTCACACTTTGGCAAAGTAACCAGAAGCTTCAGGACGTACTCAAAGACAAGTATTCCTAAAATGCACTAAATATTCTGAAAGACACCTTACCCTAAGCTCCTGCTTAACATTAAATGAACAGTTTTATACATTCTCTCTGTACCTTAATTCCCATCTGCAGTGACAACACTGTTCTGTAAACGGTGGATGGAAAATAGGGAAGAACATCATGTTTTAGAAGGCAAAAAATACCACAACAGTAAGTGTCCCTAAAGAACACGATAAAGTTACTAACTTTACCTACAATGAAAGCTCTGCCAGATCTTTCCCATAAATAAAACGTGGCGTCACATATTGAGCCTAATAACAGCTCTTCATTAAATGAGCACTCTCCAGGTAAATAAAAGTTGTGCTCCAATTTGCATAGGCAACTCCTAAAAACATTCATAATACTTTTATCCGTGGGACACATTCATCAGCCAGACTGGAGACTGACATTAATAACAGCTAGATACTGAGTAAGAGCAGTCTGTCTACTTTAGAAATAGACACAGGACAAATTCCAAGAAAGCCCAGGCTACAAGCTCTCAGTCTCGTCAGTCCTCCAGGCTATTTCAGTCCAAGCTTCTACTCTCCCCCAACCTGCCAAGTCTGCATGCTGTGTCCTGAAGTTTTCAAGTACCTACACTTCAACACAAGAAGCAGCCAACCAGAACTGAAAATACACCAGAATTCACCCCCGAGTTTTTCTAACAGCAGCATAAAGGAAGCCATGGTAAAAGCTATAAGCTAGAGGAAGCTACAGGACGAAACCAACAGATAATAATGAAAGTGCCCTAACCACCCACTGTAAACAGCTCAAAATATTATTATTCCCCCAACAGAAGATTCAGACAGTCTCAATATTCAGTGACTGTGGTTATATAACAAGTGACTGATGTTGAATCTACTAGTGGAATTTGACCTCGTATTTAAGAAGAAAGAGTCACATACATGAACATAAACCAAAAAGCTTAGAAGAAACCTTAAGAGGTCATCTAATGCAGTCTCTTGGCCTCAGGCAGGATAAACTACACCTGCATTATTCTGCAGAGATGCTTGTCTAACCTGTTCTGAAAAGCCTTTCATGATGGAAATTCCACCACTTCCCTAAGCCATCCACCCCAGAAATCCAGGGATTCCTGTTGCAAGAGGAAGTTTCTTAAAGTCTAGTTAAAGTTTTCCTTACCACCATATAAACCCCCGAGTTCTTCTAGCCACAGGGAAAATAGAAAACACATATTTTTCCTCTTTTTCCCTCCTCAGTTAAATTTAAAGAACGTGCAATATGTAAGTAAATTAAGTAACTTAAATTAAACACCAGTTTAACAAAGCTACTAGTGCCAGTGTACCAGTTTCCCCATAGCACTCAATAGTAGTTTCAGAACAAAACTCAAACTTTTGGAACTTTTTGAGAATACCACGAGACCATGGCCTTACTGCCTTTTATGTGTAGAAGACCTCTTTTCTTGGTATCAAAGGATATACAGAATGTCTTAACATCTTGTGACTTTACATGGTTTCCAGGTTTTGATTTCCTTATTGCTGTAAAAGCAACACTAGCCCAGAAAACTTGTTTTATGTCTTAAAGATTATATATCTGCAGACAAACTGAAAGAGGAAGAAAGCTTTGTAGATGTTATCCTATTTATCTAAGTCACTTCTCCATAAATTCCAATCTCAAGCACTACATAAACTCACAGTCCCCGTGGCAATACGAGGACAAAGTCTGCTGTACCTGACTCCCCCAGCTCAGAGGGCAGCAGTATTGTCCTCTGCAAAGCTGGGTGGCACAGTTTCAGCCCAGGGAAAGGTATCTCACTAATGAGGAAACAAGGTGCTGCAGCCAACAATTGGCGTAACACTCTTCAAGGAAACTTGGCTGAGTAAGGATTTGTTTATAACAGGTTGAGTAATACTAAAGGAACTGAAACACTGTGCTGCAAAACAAATATCCCCAAACATACACAGCAAGACTCAGAATATTGAACATTATTACCATGTTTATAATATATATATTGCAATATTAATTATAATTTCAAGTCAATGTCATACATGTCCCTGTTTCTAGTGGGAATGGGTAAGAATCAGAGGTACTACATGGTGATAAAATACAAATAAGCATTGATGGAGCCTGGAAATTTGCTGCTGAGGAACAAAAGTGAAGCATACACATGAAATACACAAGTACACCCACTGAAGTAAACCAGTTACACACACACAAAAAAAAAAAAACATTCTTCACCACATATTAGGACACAAAAGAAATTATAAAGTCTTATTTCTCATTTTAAATTATTTCTAAATGGGAGCAGCTGAACAAAACCTATCTTGTAAAATTGTGACCATACCATTGTAGCATTTCTTTCATCATCTCTCAATTCACAGTTTTTAATATGACCCACAACAGGATCAACCCACTGCTCATGAGCAAATCACTTCAGGGATTCTAAATCATGTATTTTTTCCACAAGCTCCAAACCTTACACTTCTTCCTTCTCAGCACACATATGGGTATTAACTGTTACTCCCCTCTATGGCTCCTGCTACCAAACCAATGGTTTGATTCCAATTTTCACAAATTCTTGTTTCTTTTCACTCAGGCTTTTTTTTTTTTTTTTTTTAATATATGTAAATTTTTTTTTTTTTTTTTTTTTTAACCGTCTTGCAAACCCTAGTGTATCCCATTACATTTCAGGTGTTTTTCCCATCACATAAACTACAACAAACCTCCCAAGCTGGCTTCCAAACTACTGTCATCTCACTTCTCAGCTGATAGGTGACCTCCTCCTAGGACTTGGTATCAGTATTCTACCCAAATCTTCTAACAGATCCCTGTCTAATACTTGCACACATTTCTCTTAGCATGGTCTCTCTCCTTCATCCATTTCTTCTTCAAACCATACTTCATGTATTATTTAAAGGACACATTTCATCATCCCTGCAGTCTCTCAAGGAGACAGAAACCTACAAGAACATTTTCCTCACTTATTATCTCACCTCTTTCTACAGTTGAATAATGTCACCTACAAAAATTTCACTAGACATCACTCACACAGATGATAGTTTTATCTATCTAGATCTGATCTCCTGCTAAGAAAACTGAAATACTGGCAATCTTCAGTTGACTCTTATGAATGCCTAGCTGTCAATTCAAGTTTTATGAGGCTGTAACACAGTCCTTAGCCATGTTTCTCCAATGATTCTCTAGACTTCATTCATCATAACACACAGGTACCTAATCACCCTCAGCTGCAGTATAGACATCTTTGACACAAATCATTTTCTCAGTCTTCTGTCTCAGGTCTGTCTCTACTTTTCCTGTACCGTATGTAAAACAGTGTTTTCTCCCATAAAGTGGTCTAGCTATTATGTCAGTTTACAAACTTGCAAAAAAGCGTTTTCCAACTTTTCACTGCTGTGCCTTTTTCACTCATGACAACTAACACAACAAAAAATCACCCTTCATGCCTATAGCCTTTACCCAGCTGCCTTTCTGTGTCAGTCCTGATAAGCACAATTTATTTGTTTTCACTTTCAATCTTCTTTCTTATCACTTTTCCCTCTCTATCAAGACATTCATGTTGAATCGGCCCTTTAAACCTGTTTCTTCAGTGTTGTCCACCATGCCTTATATGCACCTGCAAAGCAACCTCATTATTTTCCTTGGAAATCCTCCTTTGCTGCTCTGGCTAGAAAAACACATGAGACACAAGTCTAAGTCATTAATACACTGAACATTGCTGCCAGTGAGGTGATAAATATTGTTTTGTCTCCTTAGACTTCAGTAACCATCCAGTTCATCGCTTTCTTATCCCTAACCAAGATTCCAAGAGCTGTGCCAGAGATACATTCAGCTTGTATACCACGGCAGAGATCTCACTAGTCACAACTAAATGCCTTACACACAACTATACAGAAACAAATCATCTTTCAAATGGGTCTGATGGCCTTTCTTCTAAATGAGCTTGCCCTGGCTGTCCTAGAATCCACCTCGAGGGTTTTGCTATTTAAGTTACACTCCCCTAGTACAGTGTGCAATTACTTATGACTGGAATAAAACTAGATTGCCACCCTAAAAGCAGCTGATGTAGCATGTTGATTCTTAGTTAAGGTGTGGTCTAGAAAATTCTAACTGCTGAACAAAGTCTTTGCCTCACCATTTTTCCACAATTTTACTGAAAAAAACCCAACCTTTTCTTCATCTTCAACTAGTGAATTAAAAAAGTATACAGTTAAGTAAATCCTCTTTAACACTTTTTGTGGAGACAAGAACTACCTCTCTTTCAACTACTACCTCATGCTACCAAGACCCAAAACACTGCAGATTGCTAAGAAATAAAAACTGTACACCTCTACCTCCATCACCTGATGCCCAAGCTAATTTACTAAGTCAGGCATTTCCTGATATCCTACTCACACCAAATTGAGATATTTAAGCTACCGAAAAGGAACCAGACAATACTATTTCAGGACATGCCGAAACATTAGAATTAAAAACAAGTTTAAAATTATTTTCTTACAGCAATATTGGTGTATTCTACTACAAAAAAAAGGGAAGTGAGGCCTGTGGCTGAAGATGGTGAACTATTCAGCTGGCCTTTTATTTTCTGTAAAACCATTTTTAAACTTAAATCCATGTTTC